TCTTCTTCTTCTTCTTCTTCTTCTTCTTCTTCTTCTTCTTCTTCTTCCCTCCCTCTCTTTCTTTTTCTGTTTAGATTTCCCACCTGGCTTTACTCTGCTAAGCCATTGGCTGAAATAGCTTTATTCATCAACCAATAAAAGCAGCACATATACAGAAAGACATTCCACATCATCTCCCCTTTTCTGTCTAAATAAAAAGGAAGGTTTTAACTTTAACACAGTCAAATTACATATAACAAAACAGTTATCAAGCAAGAATTACAGTTACAATATTTAGTCTATTTGTAGCTAGCAAAAATTAAAATATTCTATCTTGTGAGTCCAAAGTTTCATATTGAATTTATCTTTTAATATAGCTAAAGAAAACTATAACTATCAACTATCTGTCTTCGATTTTATCAAAGACCCTAGAAGAATATAATATTACCCAAGTAAACAGGAAGTGCATTGTAAACAACTTTCAAAACTCTAGAATTGACAGAGACAACTTGCTGCCTGGACAGTCACCCAAACTTCTTATGTAATGTTGGGGCATCCATCTTCAGCCTATAGGACCATAGTATCTGGCAGACTTTTCTATGAAGCAAGAAATTTGAAAGACTGTTTTGCCTATATTGCAGTTTGTCAGTCGTTTCTGTATCTTGCAGAATGTCTGGCAGACTCTTTTATGAAGAAGGAACTCTGAAGGACTGTCTAGCCTTCTTTTGGCAGTTTAAACAGTCATTTTTCTGTGGGTCCTTCATGTACAGTTTATACAGCATACCATCAAGTAGTCCCAGCAAGAGCAATTTCTTGCCCAAATGGCCAGCAAACTCCATAAGAAACCTCTTCGATGCCCAACATCCTACTGAAGTAGATTGGTGGTGCTAGAACCAGACATGTCTCACTGTTGAGAAATGTCTAAGTTCTTAAAACATTTTAAATGTCATATTCTGTAGGTCTTTTGAAGTGTTGAAGATTATCTATCTAACTGAAATATATCTCTGTATATCTAGAAAACCTAACTAATATAATTAAAAGTTTAATTATTATAGATGACTATCTATAAATCTATATTTCTTAACTATATATTACATTTTTAAATGAGCTGCATAAGCATAATACTTTAAACAAGAGTAGAAATATATATATATATATTACAGTTTAACTAAATCAACCTTAAATTTGTATCAATAGACCAAAATTCATACTAATATAAAGTATTTATCTCTATATCATATCCCCCTCCCTTTTGTAGAAATTGACTGTGAGCATTAACCATTTATTATCAACCCTTTTAAAATGAAAATAAACATTTATAAACAATCATTTTGGGAATGTGGGCATAGTTTTCTCCAAACTTCTTCCTGCTATTTGTTGGGCAAAGTATTTTTAGGGTTCATGGAAATCTTTCAGGGGGCTCTTGTTCCATTAAACCACATTAACCTGGAAGGAATTCACAGGTTCCCATCCTCTGTGGAAACAAAAGCAAAACTTCTTCTCCAAAGTAACATATTCGTAGACTCAAATTTTGAAGTCAAGATACCTTTAAAATATATATGTTTATTTAGTTTAGCAGCCCCCAGAATCAAATGTCTCTCTGTAGTCAAAAATTCAAAGAAAACATAATAATATACATAACCTAGACTCTTTGTGTATTTTTCATCTTTTTGTGGCCCATTTTTTAAACCTATTTTTCTTTTAAGAGCCTATTTAATATCCTTAAATTATTTTTATCTGTATATCTTTTATCCTCTGTCTTAAACCCTTGTACATATATTAAACTTACTGAGAGCTGTTTAGAGGCCTTTTTTGTTTGAATCTGTCTTTACTGTGCATCTGTAATCTTTTTCTGACCAGGAGCATTTTTTAAAATGCTAAGCGGGCATGGCTTGGACTAACGCTGTAGCTTTGCCTGTTGCCTTCACCCCATCCAACACGGCAGAGGCATGTTCACACCCTCTGCAAGCCATGCTCACTGCCCCAGCTCCAGGAATGCAGCTGGTCTCTGTCACCATTAAACTACTGGTAGCATGCTGCCTACAAACCCCATTTAAGTGCTTTATAGCAGGACCTCCAGAAAGAGCTAGCCTTTTATGCTGCCAGCATGAACCAGGAAGTCATCTCTTAAAGTAGTCACACATTTGTTTGCCACCAGCAAACAGAACCTGTTTTAAAAATGTGGCTACCAGGAAAGCTGCAATTGACTCACATTTTTGTGGGTCTAGAAGCACTTTTTTTTAAGCTTTTTTCAGCTTTATGTGGATGTATGTTGCCAAACATTGGGTGCCAACTTGTAAATGGAGACTGCACTTTCATTTCCCGGCCACCCAGATCCAAATAATCCACAGAAACTCTATTAATAACAACACTGTTTGACCAATGGCTTAAGTGTATACCTAGCTAGCTCTTACATCTTAAATTAACCCAGTTCTATTCATCTATGTATTGCCATGAGACTGTGGCTTACCAGTAATGTTCTGGTATCTTTTTCCTTTGGCGGCTACAAGGCATCTCCTTGACTCTACTATCTCTCTCTCTCTCTCTATCTCTCTCTCTCTCTCTCTCTCTCTCTCTCTCTCTCTCTCTCTGTTTGGACTTCCACCTGGCATGACTCTGCTAAGGCACTGGCCAAACAGCTTTATTCATCAACAAATAAAAGCAACACATATACAGAAGGACTTCCCACATCAAACACTGTGACATTCCTAGGAGTCGGTGATTACTGTGCCGTAAAGATCAAGGTATTAGTCACAGAGTCAAATGAGGTGCAGGGGATGCAACTCAGTGGGAATGCATGGGTTCAGCATGCATGAGGCCCTCGGTTCAATCTTCAGCACCCAAAAAAATCAAAGGCAAATGAATGATGTCAGAGTCACTCCCACCATAAAAAAAGGAGCAGACTATAAGAGAATGAGACATAAACTTTTTGGTGACTCCAGGTTGAGTTTATGTCATGACCACTGATGGATGCAGTGAGAGTTTCTTACAAGTACATTTTTCTTACAACTTGATCCAGTGACTTCCCTTAGTGATGGATATGAAAATAGACCAAGAGCAGTGTGTTTCACAGGTGGCTACAAGTATTAGCTTCAAGAGATACAGTCCACTGAAAGATAGTGCATGTGGTGGAGTGTTCTCAGGCCAGAGGCAGTGGGGGAAGATAACAGGTCTGTGTCCTCCAAGATGCAGTGGCCCAGGAGATAGGGCACAACAGAGCTTTAAAACAAGCAGGACTTTGGAAACCTACTCTCTTAACTTCACAGGAATAAGAGTCACACTGTGTCAATCCCTCCAGAGCACACGTGGGCTATCATGAAATGAAGGATAGAGTTAAAACTTGCACCTCCATCATGTAATTATCACAACTCTCCTGGTTTCCCCCGCTGTTAACTTCCATACATGGTAGGAAGGCTTTGCCATAGATGTGTGGCATACCCTACTGTGATCCTCTAGCTTCTGTCCTTAGGCTGAAAAGTCAACCAGAAGGCAATCCTCAACTGATCCTCCCCAGTGGATACTAGCTAGAATCGAGGAAACTGCCAACTGGGCTTGGTGGTGCACACCTGTAATCCCAGCACTCGAGAGACTGAGGCAGGAGGATTTCTATGACTTCAATACCAGCCTTACTGCATACCAAGGCCCTGTGTCAAAAGAAAGAAAGAAAGAAAGGAAGGAAGGAAGGAAGGAAGGAAGGAAGGAAGGAAGGAAAAACTTCTGCTTGTAAAA